AATCATGAGGAACGGTTAGAAAGAGTTTGTTTGGAGCACTTATTGAGGTATTCTTGCATCCTGGCACAAAACACCACTTATTTTGTGATCCATACGTGTCACTATTTTCCATTATGCAAGACAATAATAATCAATAATATAATGATAATGACAATAACTTAAATAATAAAACAAAGCTGCAAAAACAACAAAATAAACACGAGACACTTTGTTGATATGACTTGCTACGTCACAATCGGGATAGGCAACCGACCAAACGGACTTGGCGTTTTTGGGCGGAAAATATCTCATTTGAATTTAAATTCGCTTTAAAACTATTATGGAGACTTTTTTTGCAAAAAAAATTATATCAGTGTAATGTTTGACATAACTACTTTCTATATATCACCATTTAAAAAAAAGTGGAAACACCCTAATGGCCCAATTTTTCTTTCATAAATGTTAGAAGCATGGATGACTGCCACATCAAAAGCGCCAATTTATCTGGAATGTTCGGTGTTTTTTCGTTGAAACTTTCAATCCTCCGAACGTGTGATTCCTATCGTCTACGGCTTAATAACCCGAAAATCACCGACTATTCGAAAAATTACTTGTCGAAGATATTTTGTGGAATTTATTGAGCTTTCTGAAGCAAGATAAGGTGGCAAAAACAACGTACCACAATTATTATTCTTTGCCCACAAGAATGCAATGGAAAAAGTGGAACATATTCCAACATACGCCTCTTTCAGAATGCCTTAAACCGATTATCGCCTTTTACAGGCAGCAACTGATTACGATACGTCACTCGCCAGAGCCATTTCTTGTAAAGTTCAGAGATTGGCTTTGGAGGAAAAAACGATTCATTAAACCAATAATCTGAAATCGGATTTATATACACGACTTCAATAAGATGAATCTACGAGATATGCGACGCCTTTCCATGTCACATTTAATCCTTTAAAGTGATCTGACAATGGAATGGAAAACGGAAAAGGAATCGATCTAACGGCGGCTAACTGTGAACTCACAAAACCATTGTGCAATCCATAAGTTGGCCATCGATATTAAATAACCCTTTAGTAAGGCAATCAGAAATACAAATGGTATTGTTGGTCTCGATTTGAGATGTTGATTGCGCTAAATAAATGACGAATTGCTTGCTTTCCAGACGAATGGGAATGGCTATGGATGAAATGATGCAGAACGATCAGGGACTGCCTTCGTGCAAAGTTTTACCAGGCCTGAGTCCAGGCCAATCCCGACTCTGTCAGCTCTATATTGACCACATGAATGCGGTCGCATTAGGAGCGAAACAGGCGATCAACGAGTGCAAGTATCAGTTCCAGAACAGGCGATGGAACTGCTCGATTCTAGGCGACATCAACGTGTTTGGTCCAGTCTTCACAATAGGTAAGAGGAAACCCTGCATTATCGAGAAAACCTAAAGTTTTCCGGTTACAAATCGCGTGCTCGAGCGAACTGAATCGATATTCATGCATTAGACATAACCGCTGGCATCCCAGTCGGCTTTTAAAAATGACGTTGATGATGGAACATTTCCATAATACACTCCACCACATGATGGATAAGTCTATTAACTGTTATGATTGATTGCCTTCAAGATTTCAACGAGTTAGCGACTCGCCATCGTTGCTAAACAGCGGATTTATGTCCTTTAACCGCATTTAAATTGTGAAACCTTTGCTCCAGCACTCTTTGTTTCCATTTAGTCCACCGTCAGCATAAAAAAAAATGGTGTGCGTCTTCATAAACATCGACAGTGATAACTTCATAAATTAATAGAAACCATAAAATATTGAACTTGTTTAACGCATGATGGCAATAATAATTTTAATATTGCCCTTGGTTGAATAATTTATAAATAGATCAGGAATAGGTAAAATGTATTTTAATTTCCTTTTGAATGTAAAATATCTTTTTTAGTTGCAACATTTAACATTCTTTAGCCAGATGTTGTACATATTGCTCTTCTTGGGTTTGTGTAAACTCTTCTTCTTGAGTTTCTGTATTTTTTAGTCGTAATTTCTTATTTGCTTTGTATAATCTTTGACGTTCAGCACTACTTAGTGGTTGATGAAAGCTCCTTTGAGTTGATCTGTTACTTAATGCTCTTTTTTTAGCCCGAAATCGTTTTTGGCGTTCAGCATTACTTAATACTGTTCGCATTGTAGCATGTTTTTGTGACTGCTCTTGTGTATGTTCTTCATGAATGTCTGCTACAACTTGTAACTGAATAGGACTAAAAAATCAATTAATTTTGGTGATTGGAAGACGTTCTATCTGTTTAAAATAGTCGATAAAACGAGGAAGAGCTATAGAGCCATGATACACTTGACACACTATATGCAAACATAACGTAAGCCATCGCACGTATGTTAAAAAAAAATTCTAACTGAACTAATCCAAGGCTAAAAAAATTAAACTAAATTGAGAAGATTAGGAAGTAATATTTTACCAGTTCGGAACTTTGAATCGTGCAAAACAATGCAAATGGACATCATCAGGGCAGCATGTGGACTACAGACGGAGAGTAAGACATAGGGATCGGTACCGGGATTCTATCGATACGATTTAATTTAATTTAATCTTTTCTTGATACGAATTTGCATCCACAATCAATCAGGCGATTTAAAATAGGTCCAACAGTTTTTCAAAAACTTTATTGTAGTGGATCTTAGGCACAATTTTGTTGCACACCATCGATTGTTAGTTCTTAAAACAATATTTAACAGTACACGGCAATTTGCAATGATAAATACCCGGTCGTTTGAAGATGATTTTCAAAAGTTTGTAATACATTTTTCTTCAAATTGAAGGACGACCCGCATTTTTTTGCACTTAAACTGCTATTAGCCTGCATAATGTGTGTGCACTTTAATTGGAAATTTAAAAGAAGGCAAAACTCGAACAGGCATTTAGTACATGAGCACCCTTAACCTAGTATTTGCAATATCTGCAGCTTCTCCCTTGATAATTTGTTGATTCGTTGTTTCAGTGTTATAACATAAACTGCACCGAACACATTGATATCACACTCAATAATTGATAAATCGAAATCACTGCCAGTTTAATAACACAATGTGTATTTGAAAAGTTTATCAGATCTACAGATGCACCCGCACTAAGAAAAAAATGTCGAATTCAAAGTGCATATGTGCGTCCCAAGCCTCAACCGAGAAAAATCGGTTCACCCTCCCATAAAAAGTTATCACTTCAAAAATTGACTTCCTTAGGCTCAACACATCATTCAACATCTGCTGGTTAATATTTGCAATTATTCGGTAGTGGCATTAAAGAGTGTCGACCAGATGGACAATATTCCCTTGACTAATGTCTGCGTGCCTTTTTCGTTTTCCTTGCAATTACTGCAAAATGCAAGTTCAAACGATTCTTCGATGACCAGCGGCTAGACATGGGGAAAAGCGTGTCTCAAAACCGCTCCAGTGTTATTATATATTTCTTCAGATTGGTAGGCAGGTTATTGTGGGATTATCGCTGCAAGTGTTTAAACTGCTCGATGGGATTGATCGTTTACCGTTTTCTATTGTAAGACATTATGAGCGATTTTATGGGATGGCTTATGCTTTGACCAGCGCGAAATTATACTCCGACGTTGCTGGTGTCTAGAAAATCTCTTTTGCCGATCATAAAATGTGTGTCGTTAAGCGTTAAACATAAATATTGGTTGGGTTTGCTCAACTTTCCTTCAAGCGCTAATAGGCATATAGGAATATGGTGCTTAAGGGTGCACTTTCACTCAAAAATGACTGGAAAATGAGCGAACAGAATCACATACAGCTTTCGGAAAATCGCGCAATCTTACTAAGTCCTATAGATACATTTTAAGAGCGATAGGAAAAAGAGGTCCAAAAATGACCAGAATCAGGCTTTCCAGATTGTAAACGACTGATGTTCAGCAGATTAAATAAGGAAGCACGCGAAACGTCAGGATTCAGAAATTCCGAGACGTAAAACTTAAAATATCGATGCACCCAATCGTTAATCTCTGGTTGTATTGATATTTAAAGAAAATCTCCCACAATAAACGTTTTATCCAAATTGGACAAATTGATGTGACATTAAGCAAGCAATAATCGAGTCCCGCATATGAAAAAAACGAAATTCTTCTTGCACAACCATTTACCAACACAAACTATCCCATCCTGCGGCATCCCATGCACGTTTCGAGCATTAAATTCGGCCTAACGGTTACGAGAACTAGAAATAACGTCGATGGGAAACTGAAAATTATGGATCCGACATTAAAATTTCAGATTACAGAGAGAGGATCCCTGAGCCAGATAGATATAGATATTCCTTTCGGACGGTAATTTAAGACTTATATCTGCATGATTGCTGCAGGTAGTGCTATGAAGGTTAATTATCAGCGGCCGTGTTGCAATGCCCAGTTTAATAAAGGGGACTTTAAGAGCTTTGAGCTTAAGCGGGCAATAATTTTGCTTTATTCTGAAAATGCTCTTTGTTGTCTTTGTTGAAGCAAAATTTTGAATATCGTTTATTTCATTACGTTTCGTCGGGACAACAGCGCCATCATCAGATTTAAAATTTACACAAACTCATAATTGGTAAACATTACGTTCTTTTAGGTCTTTGCTGCGCTTCAAGGCAGCCTTGAAGCGCAGCAAAGACCTAAAAGAACGTAATGTTTACCAATTATGAGTTTGTGTAAATTTTAAATCTGATGATGGCGCTGT